TATTGGGTTTCGGACTTTATCCATCGTCCTGGTTTTTAAGATAACTAATAAAAACACGACGTTTCGGAAACTGGATCTGTTTCCGTCCTCAGGTGAGGGAAAAACACGTATTCTGTCCAGTCACCTATCACGTCCAGTGATTGAGGCTAGCTCTTTCTAAGGGACCCAACAGAATAAGTGTTTTTCCCTCACCTGAGGACGGAAACAGATCCAGTTTCCGAAACGTCGTGTTTTTATTAGTTATCTTAAAAACCAGGACGATGGATAAAGTCCGAAAACCCAATATCTCTGGGGATCAAATAATGTTTTTCTTGTTAGCTCTTTTGGGTTATGACACTGTTACTGAACTTAGCATCTCCATCTTCAAGGTGAGTATGTTGTCAGAACAGCAGAGATCTTCAAAACATTAACATATCTGCTAGCTACAATACATAAAGGAAAAATCATGAGCTTGAACAAACTGCCATGAAAACCTGATGAAAAAATTTTGCTTACCTCTTTTCGAAATTCTTCACAATTTCCACGAAAAAAAAATTTCTTACTGGGTGTTTCCTTCATACAGGTCTGATCAAGTAATTGCTGGCAGGAGTGCTAAATCAGCTGCTCACACAGTAGAGAACTTAAGCACAATCATGGAGACAACAGAATGCTGCCGATCAAGTGGCTCTTCTAGTAGCAGTGGGGCAACCACACGCCATACAGCTATGTTTTCTCAGGAAAACTATACAACAGGCAGTATGAAAAGAAGTGAGAATGGTTGTAAGAGCAGTAGACATTCTGAGCAAAAGTATGTCATCACAGAAACATGGCGTGGGCATCCCAGTATTCAGGAGACACACAGACAGAGCAGTCAATGCTTAGGTGATAACTTTATGGTCAAAAGAACTTCTCAGTCACTTTATTACAAAATGGAAACTGTGTCTCACACAAACAACTGCGTCATGGACCAGCCCAATTTACCAGAAGAACCAAGCCCTTCTGAAAATGCCTACAGGGATGAATCTGTAAAATCAGTGTTACAGAAAGATCCAGACCGACATAATGAAAGTGGAGGAAATCGGAGATCCCAGCAGATCAGAGGAATGAATTCAGGGTATCTGAAGAACTACACAGGATTGGATCCAAAACTTAAGGATAATGAAACATTGTTAAAAAATGGAGAAGTATTATTGCTCCATGCCAAGACAAAGGATCCAGATGACATAAGGGAGACTGAAAGTGATAGTCAAGCTTGCAAAAATAAGTTATCAAGAGTACAAGGAAATTGTCTGGCAGAAGTCTCCAAGATTCAACTTGATGAACACAAAGTTGTTGATCCATTTGATCATACTTTAATTCAGCAGTTGCTTACTACTTTAGGTTTCCCAAATGCTGAAAGTGGCAAGTGCTGTGTAAACCTCAATGTACAAGTGCCTCAATTTAAAATTGGGGGAACTGTCATTCTGGGTAAGTTCTTACCTTATGGAAGCATATCCTTGTACTGTACGCGCAACCCTATTTTTCCACTGAGGATTTTTTTGACAAAATTGAATATGTTATTTAGTAATGAGTTTTGAAAGTGAAAGCCATAATATTAAGAAATAATACATTTAGTATTGAATACCTTAATTATAATTCTAGGTAGGTATTTTCACATATCATTAGAATTAGCAATTAGAACTCATAATCATCTTCATATTTATTCTTAGGGACCTGTAAATAAGTCAACCTCTCTTTTCTAAGAAGCAGTATTTGAAAAACTCCCCTTATATTCAGGCAAATGCAGTATTTCATTTTGGTCTTATATAATAATACTGCATCAGTATCCAGTTGGTAAAATGAATGTAATTTAGGGTTAAAATGTTGAGATTAAATTTTGAACAGCGTGAAATGCATATTACTATTCAAAATATTTATCTTTGACCTCATATAAAGTCTCAAAGATTAAAAGATGAAATTCCTGAAGCTGTTTTTCAGACATGCCTTGTTAAGTTTTTTTTTTTTTTTGACCTTGGAATTTGTTATAATGTTAGGTTGCCAAGGCTACGCACAGAAAGTTCAAATGTAATATATATATATTACTTCTCATTTGATGTAATGCGTATATAACCATTATAACTGAGAAACCAGTGATAAATAAAAATAACTCAATGCTGACAAAAAAAAAGGAGGTAACTCATTTTAGTTGCATATGAATCATACTTTCAAATTTTTTTTCATTTTCTCTGCCTCTTCTGCTCATTACAGCCCGCCTCACTGTTGTACACCAGCAGCTTGTTGCAAATTTTACTGCTACCTGCTTCCCTCCCCTTGCCCAGCCAGGCCTCTAGAAAGAAATTATATTATCAATATAAATCTAAGTGTAAAGGTTATGTAAAGAGAAAGGAATACTACAGTTCATAAAAAAGGGTACACATATATTTGAGTTGATGGCGTTATTCACAGGTATCATGAATGTATTCCTTGCAAACATGAAGGTATTGATTGGTGATGAAAACCTTTAGATTCATGAGCGAAAAATATTCTGCATTATATATTCATATTTTTATATGTTTTTGTGATCTATATAGCATAAGCAATGTAACTCATGGAACCTAGGAGTATGTAGCATGTAAATAATTGTGATGAACTTTCAAACATATTGCTTTCTGTACAGGGAAAGAAAAGTTTAAAATTGAGAACGTTCTGGGAGAAGGAAGCTATGCAAAAGTGTTCAAGGCTACTGATGTGGAAACACAAAGGACTGTGGCATTGAAAGTTCAGAAACCAAGTTGGGAATGGGAGTTTTACATCTGCCATCAGATACAGTCCCGCCTGTCTGACTCTGTCTCAGTAAGTTGTTTCTTGTGGAATTTGTGAATGCCATTTATTATTGTCCCAGAGTATGGTGTTTGGGCTTGTGACAACTTGTAGTCTTGTAGGTGGATACCAGTGTTTCAGAGGAATGTGCTTTTTTCTCTCTGCCCCTTCTTTTCCACAAATGATCTTGGAAACAATTTAATGACAAATGTACAGTCATAACTAAATGTAATATTAAGCGGCCTCCATAGTCTAGAGGTAACCTTCCCACCTCATGACTCGTGGTACGCGGGTTCAAACCCGGCAGAGGTCGTGGAATTTTTAAGGGTGGAAAAATTCAGGGAGGGATTTTAAGCCGTGGGTCCCGTGTTGTAGCTTTACGGCACGTAAAAGAACCTCATATCTCCAAAGGAGCTCACTGAGCCAAATTCAAGGACATTTCCCGCCCAACAGTAGTCTCTAATGCCTCAGATAGATGGGGGAAGCATTATAGATACCGCTAAGCCAGTAGAGGCTGAACTCGCTGGCTCGGTCGGGACTGATGGTACGCACCAATATCGGTAGGGTATAGAGACTGGTAGAATATCATAGAGGGAAGCACAATGGACCAATACTGGTCTAAGTGCATGGGGAAACCCACCCTCTCCAATAACTAACTAACTAAATGTAATATTATCTTCTGAAAGAGTACCATTTGTTGTGTAAGTTACTTTGAACTGTTTCTGAGAAATCCTAGTTTAAATTTGGTAGGAGTCCTTATATTTATGGGATACAGACTGGATGGCCAGGGTAAGGTTATCTTCTCTACAATGTCTAGACCAGCTCTGGGGCCCACCCAACTGCAGCGGCTTGTACCAATATGTAGTTCTTAAAAACATTAGATATTGTACTCATTGTATGAGTATATTAACATTCACAAAACATACTATAATAGTGGCTTCCAATTGCATTGATATCCTCCTGAAGATGGTCTATAAGACCGAAACATGTTAAGGAGAAAAAACTCCATCAGTCACACTGGACGGAATTAATTAACCTTTTATAACTAGGTGACCAGTTATGTGATGGTTTACAAGGCAATGAGTCATGTGATGCTACCTCACCTATGGAAGCTCTCCCCCATTCCTACATTAGTTGCCTAAAATAAACAGATGTTCCTTTCCGAATAGCCATCTTATTTCAGTTTTCTGGAAAGGGAATAGTAAAATTTGTAGTTTTGAAAGAAATTTGTAGATGATATATATACAGACGGCCCTAAAAATATGTATGCATACTGTTCCGCTGCCATTTTCTTTAACTGTTCCACCATTCAGTGAGGTGACTCTGGTAATCATGTGATTAGAACCATCTTTGGAGAGAACATCACACAGCAAACCTTACATAACATTTCAGTTAAACTTATGTTTTGGTATAAGCTCATAACTATAAATATTAATTGAATTTTTGAGCTGTATTTATAATTGAATTTCAAAGGCCTCTGCATCAGTAACCATTGACCTTATGGTGCATATTTATGTTTACTTGACATTGTTATGTGGTGTTTATTATAGGCGATGGCTTTTATGGATGTTCATATGGCATACATGCTGAAGAATGGCAGTGTATTGGTGACAGATTATTCTCACTATGGGTCCCTGCTTTCTGTAATTGTCAAGTTACGGCAACAGTGGGTAAGCTAAGCAAGTACTAAGTGCATTAAAGGAGGAGTGGAATAAGTTCGAATGATTAAGTGATTTTCATTCTTGTCTTGTTTAGAATTCCATGACCTTTTTTGCATAAAAAATTTGAAAACAGTTTGTACCAGTGTGATCTGTCATGAAGTTGAGCAATTTTTAATAATATCTAATTCCGCTTCGTAATATATGGTGGTGTCTCACAGACCATGACAATTTCAGCATTAATTTTTGCAGACTGCTGTTACAGAATGCAATTTATATGCCAGTTGTTGTATTCCAGATGTAGAGAATATGATACATCTGGCAGCATATCTTGTGACCACTCTTGATGTAAATTATTTTTCACTCTGTTCTCAAATGTCTTGTAAAAGCCAGTATAAACAACAGGGATTTTTATGCAAGTTTCCATCCCACAAAAGAAAGTTTATTACCTCACCATAAATTCATTTCTGGTGGATTTTATTTGCTTTCTGTCATATTAAGCAGTCAGTACCTGAGAGCCTGATGCTGTACTGGATGGTCGAGCTGCTGTCCATTGTTGAGAAACTACAAGAGTGCCGCATCATCCATGGGGATATCAAACCAGATAACTTTGTACTTAGAACCCTGTGAGTTCCGAATTTTATTCGTCATATTCTGCTTTAATGAATCCTATATGAATTGCACTTATCTGTAATGGACTGTTCTTAGGATTGAAAAGTAACAAATGAGTAAAAATCAGTTTCATAATAATTCCCATTACCAAAATAAGATGTTATACAGTAAAGTGGATTTATGCCCATTTAAATATAGACAGAGAAAGTTTGGTTTTAATAAGGTTCTAAACAGTGTAACAGATTTATGGCTGGTAAAGAATAGGCTAGAGGGGGCACACAGTAGCATGGTTGAGGCACTGTGCTACAAGCTGGAAGGTCGCGGGTTTGATTCCCAATGAGGTGGATTTTCAAATTGACCTAATCCTTCCAGCCACACTATGGCCCTGGTGTCAACCCAGCTTCTAACAGAAATGAGTACCAGGAATCTTCCTGGGGGGTGAAGGGTGGCTGGCATGTAAGGCCATCTGTGAGCCTATTGTCTAGAGAAAATGTGGGAGCCTCAACATCTCGCAACCCTATGGTCCTCACGGCCTATCTTTAAAGGATAGGCTAGAACACATTATGTGGTTATAAAAGTCTTACCAGTAAGATAACTTCAGTTTTGATTATAATATTGCTTGAAATTATACTGTTCCTTGAATGAGTAACACATAAGTGGGTGAAGATTTCATACTTGCATTATAAAGATAATTTACTGTACAGTACAGTAGATTTAGGATCTCTGAAAATGGGCAAGAAAGAATTTAGCAACAACTGTTCTGGTGATCATATTCAGAATGGAACAGTATAATACAATCTTGGTAATCCGGCTGCGCGCTAGCCTGACACGTCAAGTAATGTGGCATCAGGCTCCAGACAGGCGTCTGCAACCTTATGCAGGTTTCTACAGGCAGCAGAGACTGACTTGTGTTCAGTTGAGCTTGACAAACTGATTTATTTAGACCCTCGCTACTACACAGTGTTTCTGTTCTTCAGTACTCTACATTCCTGTACAGCACTTTTCATACAGCGGTGGATTTAGTGTGTGCTGAAGATGTCCAGTTCTGACAAATGTAAACATAAGACTTTAACTTTAAATGCAGAAGTGGAAATAATAAAGAAATTTGACAAAGGGGGAAACTTATTAATTTGGCTACAGAGTATGGTGTTGGATGCGTCATGATATACAATATCAGGAAAAACACATAAATAAAAAAAAATGTTTCAAATTTTTCCAGTAATCCGAAGTTTTCGGTAATCCAGCGGTACCTTGGTCCCATACATGTCAGATTATGAAGATTGTACTGTAGTTCTAATGTCACTGAAGTATTGAAATATTAATAACCGAGTTTGATGTTTACTGTTTGCTACAGTGCAGTGTGTAATGTAATATAGCATGCATCTTCTGATCTTATTATAATCTAATTTTCCCAACTTTGCCACATCGGTGAACAAGCAAAATAACTTTGGTTTTAGAGCAGTGAGGAGGTATGTTAGAATTGGATTCTGCTTTTAACAGTTGACTGGAAACCCTTTGTATTTTAGTAAAATACTAGGTAGAATGGCTTTCTTAGAGAAAATTTTTACTCTAAATTTATTAGTTTGTGTGACATATGTTTTCTTTGTGTTTCCGCAGGCCATCCTTTGAGTCCAAAGAGCCAAGTCTGCAGCTGATTGACATGGGACGAGGGATTGACATGACACTATTTCCTGAAGGTACCACATTCAACACAGTGGTCACTACAAAGGATTTTCAGTGCATAGAAATGCAGACCAAACGACCTTGGACCTACCAGGTAACCTTGATAAGGAAGATATTATCATAATATGGAAGGAAAAATTAACACATTTTCTCCATTCCCCACCATTTCTCATTTCTCTCTCTCCCTTTCCTCCGAGATCCCCTCAAACTCGTTTATTTCATCAGCGTAGGAAACCAGGCTTTCCACATCATATAAACTCAGGGTCAGATTTATTATTTTACATATATTTTAAATTTAGGACGTTCTCTTCTTTCAGAAACTGATGAAAGAAGTTGAATATTCTGGACTGATTTGTGTCATCCATTTTGTGACTTTTGTGTGTTCTAATTTCATTGCAAAATTTGCCTACTTTTTTTAAGGAATAAAATTGACTAACTAGAACACCATGCTCTCTGTGTGTGCCTTTGGAGGCTGTCCCATCTTTGTACAATTTTAATTTTCTACAGTCAGTAATAACAGGATGGTAGGAGTACAAACCTGTGATGAGGGATTGATGCTAGCACCACATAACCACATAATTACAGTCCTGAAATACTGTATGATAGGTCTTTGAAGAAAATAGAACTTTTGTTAAGATAAACTATTTTTACAATGTAAAACAATATGGCAACCACTCAAAAGAATTCTGTTTGGCTTTGAGGTAACTAAAGGACCACTGGGGCTTTAAGTGTGAATCTTTGTATAAAGATGTATTATGAACATTCCCGCAAATTATATATAATTCGATGTTTAAAAATGTGGCCATTGTGTCATTGCGCAAATGGGCTAGGGTCTGAGTGAGGTATGCTGAAAAAATGTATCTGCCATGTGTCCTAAAGTCTTCTCGGGCTGTGTCAGTGTTGAGTTAAAAAACAATATTTATTTGGTGTGAAAGGTTGAAATCTTACATATCTCCTGCATGTTTTGGCAGTTCGTGAATGAAAATGGATTGACCTGTGTGTAGGTCACATCCCCGTTTTGGGGCTTGAACTTTGGTTAGATTTTTGACCCATGCATTTTGTTGTTTACAGTTCCATTCTCTCTTTTCTTAGACTTTTATAATGTCATATTCTAGAAAAAAAATTAAATATTAAGATATGCTTGTATGAGACATTACAAACTGAACTGTAGTTTTTGTATGTGGTAGTATAGTTGGTTGATGCACTATGCTACAAGCCAGAATGTTGCAGGTTCAATTCTCAATGAGGTCATTGGATTTTTCATTTGCCCTGATCCTTTTAGCTGCACTATGGCCCTGGGGTCAACCCAGCCTCAAACAGAAATGAGTACTAGGAATCTTCCTGGGGGTAAGGGGTGACCGATGCATAACACTGACACCCTCACTGCCATCTATGAGCCGATTATCTAGATAATGTAGGAGCCTCAACATCTCACAACCCTATGGGCCTCCACTGCTTGTTACATGGATAGCTTTTTTCCCCCCCCCCTCTCT